ATTCTGTCCATCAGAATGGTACCTTTGACCTGGTTAATGGCGCACGACCATGGTTGAAGCCAACCATCCTAGAGAACCATCTTATGTCATTACTGCTCCTAGGCCTTTCCCAATTAGAAATGGCTGCCACTGCCCTCCCCCACCACAAATCATAGGTACAGGAGTGTAACCTGACCGAAGTCACATTTGGTTAAATTCGCTGTTAAATGATGAGCTAACCAATCCAATGGCTGACCTAGTCTACACATATGGTCTTCTCCGTTACCAATTTATCGATCAGATTAGATTCAACACCTCCCAGATCCAGGTGACTTGGTACATTAATATGTTAAATGTAGCTTGTTGCATTGAACATGCCAAATGGTAGAACGCAGAAATTGTGAACATTACAATAATTGTAAATGACAAGATCTCCTTTATAAGTGTGAGAGGTGCTTCGTAGTATACTTCAAGCAAGTCAGTCCTTGAGGAGAATTTTTCTTCCACTATCTGGGCGACAATGTCGATCGTAAGCAGTAGTGTAACATCATTCACCAACCTTCAGACAGCATATATTTTGCTCGTGCCGCCTGGCTTAGGTACCAACAAACATGGAGAGGCCCATGTTTGAGAAGGAAGTCAATCTCTTCCACGGCTCAGATACGATACGGAGCTTTGTTTGATAGGAGCAACACCTTGAATATCCACAACATGGTCTCCTAGTATACATAGCTCGGACACATCATATAATAGGTACATCACATAATAGTCTGGTGGAAAGTAAGTTTGATGTCTAAGGAACGGAGAGAGTTGTTGAGATTAGAAAGACCGGAAATGTAGGGAAGGCAGAGAACAGACGAGTTCCCAGGAGTAGAGAGTTTGGGAGAGAAGAAACTACTTTTAGCACGTCAGAGATCACAGCCATCCTATTGACTGGTCTTCTGCTAAAACTGTCTTCCCTACTTCCAACTTTAACAGTCACCATCTGGTTGAATCCTCCCTTATACACAACTTTCCTTGTATGAATCTTAGTCCTGGCTTCGTCTCTGTAGATGCCTTCCTCTCCCACTACATTGTAAAATGCTCCAAATTTCAGAACACTCGTGACCTAACCTGATTCCTCCTTTTTTTTTTCTTCTCCCTTCTTCTCCCTCTTCTCCTTTCCTCTTTCCTTGTTCTCCTTTGGGTTGTCTTTATTCTTCCCTGTGTATTTGTTCTTTCTTTATTTATTTTTTATTTGTTTTCCCCCCCTCGGTGTTCTTGCTCTTACCCTCTGTGGGAACCAACTCCCCTGCAGTCCTCCTCTTTCTTAGTATTTGACTGGCCCCTCCTACTCTTACTACCTCCCCACTACTACTTCCTTCCCTCCACTACCACCACGACTACTACTACTACTACGACCACCACCTCCTGCCTATATATACACATCCTGCTCTCCTTTTCGATAGTGTGACTTTGTAAATGGTCCAGATCGGACCGAAACGTCGTCGTAAGCTCCTCTCTTCTATGTGCGGGTTATTTGTGTATTGCTCCAGTCACGGTATTGTGCCTTTTTTTGTTATTTACTAACTTTGGAATGACGAAGCCATTAAATCATGTTTAAGGTGATTCAGTTCAACGTACGTTCTTACTTTACAATAAGACACCTACTGGCCGAGCTCTTTGAAGCAGAGAGGCCAGATATTGTTTTACTAAACAGTACCTGCCTCAAAACCCCTCAACGTATCCGCCATTATGGTTATACTGCACTACAGTCCCCCTATGATCCCCACGATGAGGTTGCCATCCTTGTCAAATCTAGCATAAAACATGAATTTCTCCCAATTCCTTTTATTCACCAACACTATCTTGCGGTCAGAATACACACCCACCTTGACCCTTTTATCTTTTTCACTACCTATGCTCGCCCAAACACTATTCTCAACATACACGACCTTTCCTTAGACTTCAACTTCACCAACATGCCAACATACCTACTAGCTGATATGAATGCCAAACACAGCGCCTTTCATCACACCAGTAACAACTAACCTGGTCACCAATTACTCAACTTCACAAACCACAAACACCTAATTCACCTCAGCCCAGACTTCAACACCTTCTACAACCACACAGGCCAAGGCAAACCTGACATCATTCTGGCTAACTGAGCCAGTTCTCTCTTTCAACACTACATATCACCTGGCCCTATTACAGGCTCTGATCACATCCCTGTCATCCTACACATCTCCAACCCTATCCTCATCCCAACCACACCTTCCTTCTCCTACAAGAATGCTGACTGGGATGCCATCAAACAACACATAGATAATACTAACCTCACCTATGACTACAACAACAAACCTATCTCTGACATTGACACTCAACTTGCTCTCATCCAGGACACCAACAGGCAGCCAACCAGGCAGCCAACACCGCAATACCAAAGAAAACCCATACCACTCATTATTCCTTCAAACCCTCAATCAGAACAAGAAGACTAATTATCTGCTACCACAACCGCTTCCTCTACAACACACACAGATTTAATCAAGTCTGATTAGATCTCACTTACCTCAGAATCAACATTCTACACAGTCTAGACCAAGACCACAACAATCACTGGTCACAGCTCATACTACAAGCGGTCAAACAGAGTATCAAAAACACCAAAGCCTTCTGGAACTTTATCAAAAAAATCAGAGGCACCACTCCCACCAAGAAATTCAAACACACACATCTCAGACCCGCAGGCTGCTACTAACATGTTCAAACACATCTGGGAGAACGTCTTCCACCCTCACCCACCCCACCCTAATACTATCCAACACATTCAGAACATAGAACACTGGAACACTAAACACACACGAAACAACACCAGACAGCCACATCCATCTGGACTCTCTTACTTCCTCCCAAGAACTCGACACTCCTTTCACCAACACAGACATTAAAACTCTCCTCAGACACCTTCCTCCCAAGGCCCCTGGTGCCTCTGGCCTAAACCATATTATCCTAAAACACCTTCCTGACTCTATCATTACAGCCTACATAAACCTTCTCAATGCCTCCCTTGCCTCTGGATACTTCCCTACCTCTTTAAAGCTGCTACTGCTATCCTCCTTCCTAAACCCAATAAAGACCACTCTGACCCTATAAACTATCGCCTTATCAGCCTCCTCGAAACTTTAGGGAAACTCTTTGAAAAACTCATCAAACATCGCCTTCGCAGATACCTGGAACACAACTCTCTACTTTCTGATGACCAATTTGGCTTCAGAATTCGCAGATCCACACAGGATGCCATTAACATTATTCTCAACTACATCCACATAAACACAAAACAAAGAAACAGGACAGCCCTGGTCGCGAAAGACGTGGAAAAAGCTTTTGACAATGGTACGATGGGCTTAAACACAAACTCTGCACTAACTTTAACCTGCCTCTCACTACTCGTAAACTCATCTGCAACTTCCTAGACGGCTGCACCATGAGAATCAAATTCCAAGGCTGCTACCCTGACTACTTCACACTAAATGCTGGAGTAGCTCAGGGATCTGTCCTTTCCTCTACCCTCTACATTTTATACATTAACGACATTCCAACACCTGTATACCACAACTCCATTACTCTAGCCTATGCAGACGACATTACACAACTCATCACTCACGCCAATATAGATACACTCACACACAAAACACAAAATGAAGTCGACAG